GAACTTCTTCTTTTTCTCTAGAAATTTAATTGTTATTTATTTAAATTGCTTTTCTAGTTTTGGCTTGTTCTAGTTAAATCTCCAAATCAATCGTGATTAGAATGTTTAGGATTTATTTTCATTTCGTTTGTGATCAATACCAATGCTAAATTCCGAACCCTCTTCCTTGAGAGATCGACCCGCGGAACGAATCTTTTGATTCGGTTTTCGGTAAAAATAAAAATAATTTGCTACAACAACGGGTGTTGTAGTAGTGACTATTATCTCAAAAAGTAAAAATAACAAATGAATAAATGAGTTTATTTTTTAGAAAATATTACCTTCTTCATCAATTTTTTAATATTACCATATATGAGATAATTTTTTTACCAAGTCAAATGCATTTTAAATATGGTAAATTTCTATTAGAGATAATTATGTCTCAATCCCGGTTTTGTACGGCCGCATTTAATGCTAAGTATCTTTAAGGGGCGGTTAGGACAGTCGGGCCACAAAAATGATGACAGAATGTGCGGTACGCGATGGTGCCACGTTGGTGTAGCGTCAACTTCTTCGGTTTTGAGGAACTCGGTTATGGTTGGTATTGCTTGTCATGTCGGTTTGAAAGGAAATGACCTCGGTCCTCTGAGTAAGTCGGTTTTCTTAGTATGATCACACAAGTACTTAAAATATTTAAGCTTGATCCCTTGCTAGTGACGTTGATCATTACCAAGTCAGTGATCATTACCAGGTCGGTGGTCAACAACCAGTTTCGCCACTCACATTCGACGTCTTGGATTGGTGGTAAACAATGAAGACCACTTATCTTGTTCATGCTTGATGGCCAAGGAGATTTTTATGATTTCGACCTCACTATGGCGGTTGAATAAACATTTGGTGAGTGAAAATATACTATAGACGAATGACAGTTTGGATTGACAACATGAAACTTAGATGATCAAATGTTGTTGAGTGATTGGAAGAGGCCGAAAGAAGGGCACAAACGGCCATGCTAACAGAAGACGATGATGAAAAGTCGGATGATTTTACTAGTACTAGTGAAACCAACTCAACAACCAAACGACGAGTGCGACTACACCTACGATTACTAGATCGTTCAACAAATTATGCCGTCTTCTTTCATTAAGGTAAGCAAACTAAGAAGACTTTTATTCCCGAGGTAATGATACGTAGGCAACTTAATTGACATATTATAAGTTAAAATGTCATTTTTTAACCAAAATTATTTCAACCTAATTGATTTTTTAACTCGTCGGTTGGACCCACTTCCATGTCCTCGATGATCGTGGGGGCAACGAGAGAAACGAGTCGCAGACAAGAAGTAGATTAGCCACAATCTCACAGTTTGCAAATGGTTTTTTAATGGTGATATTAGTTTACATGGGCAAGCTATAGGGCAACTTAGTGAGTTCGCACGTGAGGCTTCCCCTCAAATCATTTCGCATCAGCCTCGGGCACGATGGAAAAGAGGTAGGTCACCAACTGTTGGGGGTCTTTATTGGTGGTGAGCTTCTATAGTTGTTGATCTAGCTAGGGACCGCAGGAGCGAGAGAAGCTCGGTCCCTCTTTCTTGATTCATTCTCGATTGTGTGCTAGGTTACTGGCTTATTGGACTGCTTGGACGTGGGTTTAGGTCGGGTTGGAGGGGACAGGTCGTTGAGCCCTTTCTTTCCCTCAGAGCTCGTGGTTGAGACCGCGTGACTTATTATCATATCTGCAAAAGGAAAAAGGTTTGAGAGCTCATCCGTAGCGGCTATGACACAAATTATGAGGTTAGCAGGGTTAGTACATAGGTAGCCGATGAGGGGTGTGTCTACCAAGGTTAACCCCACGTGACATTAGAGACTCGCATCGACAGTGAGCTTACTTGTGTCAAAGGGAACCTAGTTCAACACCTCAATAATATGGTCCAGCGGGGGTTGGACCCGTCTTTTTATCTAGCTCGAAAGGTCGCTAACCCACTCGAGGGTGGAGCTCAGCTCGCCTGGTAGGGGTCAAATGAAAAAAAGAAAGGTTTTCCAAAACAAAATATTAGAGGAAAAGTCCTTTAAGAAGGCGGTTTCCTTGCGAGCTCTGAGATAATGCGACCCCTATTTCTACACTTAAATGTCATATTATAAAACACTAATTCAAATTAAGTATAATATGTCATAATATAATTATGATTGCAATTACTAAAATAGATGTAAATTATTGTGTAACGTGGCATAACCGTTAAGCGAATTTACCCGTCATACTTTTTGAACCAAAATTCATACCGTTGTACTTTGTGTATTTTATTTTTAAAAAAAATATATCATTCAAATTTAAAAGTTTACACATTTATTATAAAATTTATGGTGTCTAAGTATTAAATATGTCTAAAACAATCGAATATCAAATAATATATATGAACTATTAAATGTATCAGGTCTGATCACCTACTAACCCTCCACAGGACCACTTTTCTTTAGTTTTTTTAATCAGTCAGAGCTCGTTTGCTTGTAGAGACAGGATAAGATAAAATCTATCCAATTAGGTGGGATTGTACTGTACATATTAATTTAAACCCTTGTTTGAAATTGTGATAATTTTTCTTTAGATTAGTACTAAAGTTTGCAAAATTTCCAAAATACCCTCAAATCAAATTAATAAGTCAAGCAACATTTTTTTTTTCTTTTTCCTCTCCTTCCCACCGTTCTCTCCCAACTTATCTTCTTTCTTCTTCTTTCTGGTTTCTGCTCAATACGATTCCATCGTTTTTTTTTTCCTTCTCCTACCAACAACAATTTATCGGCAGCGAACCGTGATCAACGCTATTGTGATGGATGTATTGGTACAAATCTTAAATTAGGGTTTTATTCTCTTTAATTTTGGTCCAAATATGAATTTGAGATTTTCTTTTTTTTTAAAAAAAAAAAAAAAAAAAATTCGGTACAGAAACAAATTTGGGATCTGAATATTACAACGACGGCCGCTGACTCGACGATTGGTGGATGGGGAGGCAGGCAACTCTGGCGATTGGCAGGGGTGCCTTTGACAAATGTGGGGTGGCTGGCTGCGAATCTCCGACTAGCCGAGCGTCATTATTATTATTGCTCATTTTTTAAAATATTAAAAAAAAAAATTGACTTGGACAGTTATGTAATTTGCTCGTAAAATCAAGCTTGATAAAATTTATCACACCCCCTCCCCCAAGATAGTTTAGTCATGAGTATTCAAGATTAGGCCAAATTTATCACGGGCCAAACATAAACTTGCGGGCCTGTATCATAGTTAACAAACACATGATAAACCAGGATAAATAGATTTATCCTATCTAATCTCCCCAACCAAATGTGCTATCAGTCTTCTAAATCGTCGGCACACTCGCCGGGCATGTTTCAATTTCTCAACAAACCTAAGTAAAAAATTTCAAGAAA